CCCCAAAACCCCAAAACCCCAAAACCCCAAAACCCCAAAACCCCTGATTATAAAATTAAAATTGATAAGAAAATTCTTAAATGGAAAAACGGAAAGTCAAGAAATCAGCAAGGAAACCCAGAAACATAGGCATTGACGGAGGAGAAGGGATGATGGAGCCTCTCAAGGTTCTTAAGAAGGCTAAAGCTGAGTTTAACAATGCTAAGACAGATAAGGATTATTCCAACATCATCAAAACACTTCAAGAGACTAGCAAGCCAGACTTACCTGACATCTATGCTCTGATTGGTCAGTGCTATATTCGAATGGGAGCCTACGACAGAGCTGTTCATTCCTTCACTGAAGCAGCTGATAGTGCCGAGAAAGAGCCTGAGCACTACAATTGGTGTGGGTATTGCTACCAGCAATTAAACAACTCTGATGAAGCTCTAGCTCATTACACCAAGGCTATCCAGCTTGGCAAGAATAACGGAGAATATTACTACAACAGAGCAACTGTGAAAAAAGAAATGAACAATTATAAAGAAGCCATTGAAGACTTTGAATTAGCTATAAAACACCTCGAGACGAGGTCTAGCTCTGATTCTAAACAACAGGAAATAATCTATCAGGCCTATTACTCTAAAGGTATTTGCCTCAGACAGTTAGAGATGCTGGATGAGTCAATCCAAGATCTGAAGAAAGCAGTTGATCTCAAGCCTGATGAGCCAAGTGCTCATAACAACCTTGGAATGTCCTACTTCAAGGCAGGAGATTTCGAAGACTCTACAATAGAATATAGTAAGGCAATCAATCATGTAAAAACTGAGCACAAGAATTATGAGCTTGACCCAGAAATTATGAAGCAGATTGCGATCTTCTGCAATAACAGAGGACTGGCTTTCTATCATCAACACAGATATGCAGAAGCAAAGACAGATTTTGACGAAGCTATTAGCCTTGAAGGCGATGATGCCATCTATTATTTCAACAGAGGAAACAATTCGTATGACCAATCTCTTCTCCTCGCCAACATAGAAGGGAGTGAAGAAAATGCGAAAAAGCTGTACCAAGCAGCCCATGCAGACTACGATAAAGCAATTGAACTCAAGCCTACAGATCCAAGATTCTACCACTCAAAAGGTCTCGCCTTCGAAGGAACAAATAACGAGGAAGATTATGACGAAGCGATCCAGAACTTCCAAAAAGCAACTGAAATAGACGATAAGTTCTTCGGAGCAGAAGTCCATTTAGGAAACATGTATCACAAAAGTAATGAATTTTTGAAGGCTCTTAAGTGCTACAGAAAGTTCTTGGATAATTACAGCACTCACGAAGATGTATATGTCAGTAGAGGTCTTGTGTACCAAGATATGGGTAACCACCAATTCGCTATTAAAGATTTTGACTCAGCCATTAAAATAAACCCAAAGTGTTCAGATGCATACTATCATAGAGGAGTCTCAGAGCTCAAGAGTAGGAGGTACTCCAAAGCTATCGAGGATCTTACCAAAGCAATAGAGGAGAGGACCAAGGATAATTATGGAATCTATGATGCACTTGGGTGCTGATACCAAGCCCAGAAAGATTACGATCTTGCCTTTAGGTACATGGATGAAGCTATTAGCAAAGAACCTACCAACATCCAGTTCTTAATGAATAGGGCTCAATGAAATTTTGAGCTTGGTCATGATGAAGATCCTGAAAAGCAAATAAGGCACTTTACAGCATCTATCGAGGATTTAGAAGCAGCTTTAGATATTGACGAGAATGACCCAAAAGTTCTTTATAAGCTAGGACTTTCTTACTACGCATTTGGAAAATACAAAAGATGCATTAAGACTCTTAAAGGGGCACTCAAATGAGTTCAAGAGATCACGAGCTCTGGAATCCACACGATCACGTACGAATCTGATATTTTCTACCACATCGGAATTGCTTATAGCAATCTAGAAAGATTTGAAGAAGCCGTTTATCCACTTACAAAAGCGATTGAACTGATCCCAAGTGATATCAGGTATGTCCACGAAAGAGCTAAGGCATATCAAATGGTGGAAGAGCATAGTGCAGCCATTGAGGATTTCGATACTGTCATTCATAAGAGTCCGAACAACGCTCATGCTTACTTCAGAAGAGCTTTCTCCCACAAAGCTCTTAAGAATTTTGAACAAGCTGCTGATGACTTTGAGACTGCTAAAAGAAAAGATCCAACCAACCAAAAACTTGTTGTGAATTATAAGAAGCTAAAGGGGATCACATGCATTGTCTTGTGCAGACCAGGAGATGAGCCAGTATATACTTAACTCTTCACTTCAAGCAAATGCTAGATTGAGTTAGTAGAGTTAAAAGTCTGCTTTTTATGCTATTTTCAAAGAAATTTCTTTAAATTGGGGTTTTGGGGTTTTGGGGTTTTGGGGTTTTGGGG